AACCTGCACGATGTGGCCCTGGAGACGTACTTCAACAGCGGCTATAATTCGGACCGAGCCCTCAAACTATTTGCAGAGACCGACAAATCAGCCTTCAAGGAGCCTGACCTGACCGCTACAGAGCAGAAGAGGTTCGAAGAGGGTGTGAGCAAGTATGGATCTGAGCTCTATCTGGTCAAGCGACACGTCAAGTCTGTTTCACCAGGCACAATCGTTCGTTACTATTACACGTGGAAAAAGACTCCTCAGGGCAAGCAGATATGGGGCAATTTCCAGAACAGGAAGAGCAAGAAGGAGGCCAAAAGGGCAGAACAGGCAGCGAGCAAACTGCAGGACGACATTGCCGACGACGCTGACGATTCAGCCTTCGACGCCGAAAAGGCCCAGACCAAGAAGAAGGGCTTCTGTTGCAAATTTTGTCACACAAAGTATTCCCGACAATGGAGGAGAGCTCCGAACGCTTCCGGAACGCCAGTCACTGAGACTGGAGGCAAATCTTCAAACAAGGACAAGGGCGGGCAGTACATCCAGGCACTTTGCCGCAGGTGCGCGGAGCTGTGGCGGCGCTATGCCATCCAGTGGGAGGATGTCGATGAGGTTGCGAAGAAGATCGCGCAAGCCGGTGGTAAAGCCTGGAAGAAACGCCAAGATGAGGAGTTACTCAAGGAGCTCGAGGCCGCCAAGGAAATGCACACCTACTGGAACACGCCGCCGCCCGTCAACACCCCAGAGCCACCTGCAGCCGCCGTTGCCGCACCCTCCAGCGAGCCGCCACGCAAGAAGCTCAAGGGAGCCGCCCCCGACCGAGACTCGGAGCCATTGGCGTCCGACTCTGCACCCAGCCACCCGAAGAAGAAGGAGAAGGCTGCTGAGAAGGCTGCGCCCCCGCCAGCTCCCGAGGTTCCCAAGGCGCGGACCATGCCTTGCGCGATTTGCAACCAACTAGAGCCATTAGGAGACCAGCATCTGTCTTGCAAGGAATGTCGCTTGACGGTCCATCGCAACTGCTATGGTGTCGTTGACAATAGGAATCCTGGTAAATGGGCTTGTGATATGTGCGTCAATGACAAGAATCCTCAAATCTCCATTGTAAGTCATACTCCCTACTTGCCAGAAGTCTGCATGGTACTGACTCCCAAAAGCAATACAAGTGTGTTCTGTGCCCTATTGAGCATACAGAACATGACTTTGTTGAGCCGCCCAAGGTCTCTACGTCGAAGAAGAAGTCAGAGAAAGAAAAGGAGCGGGAGAGGCTTGAACGTGAACAAGCACAGAAAACTGCCGATTACTACCGGAAGAAGCAGGAGGAAACGAACCGACCAGTGAACCCTCGGGAGCCCCTCAAGCGCACCGCCGACAACAACTGGGTGCATGTCACCTGTGCTGTCTGGACCCCCGAAGTCAAGTTCGGCAACGCCAAGGCTCTTAGTCCCTCTGAGGGCATTCCTTCTATTCCTCGCGTGAGGTATGATGAAGTCTGCAAGGCCTGTAGCCACAAAGGAGGTGCCTGTGTTGCCTGCCACAACTGTCGCAACCCTGGTATGTTCTGAAACCCCTTGTCTGATGAGCTTGTCTAACAACTGCCTCATAGTTCATGTTGAATGCGCTCGCCAGCAGGGCTACCTCCTTGGATTTGACATTACGCCTGTCAAGGGGTCCCGCAGAGACCAGTTCAACCTGGTGACTATTAACGGCGAAAGCGGTGTCATGTCCGCGACAGTTTGGTGCAAGGACCATGTTCCAACAAAGTCCATCGTCCACCGAATGCACGACATTGTTAACGAGGATGGGCTCAATGCCCTGCAGCTCTACGTCCAAAGCTACAAGCAGGCGGATCTCACTCTGACTGGTACTGTCCGGAAGGCCAACTTGATGACAAACGCTGCGAAGATGGGCAGTGTGCCTGTCACTCCGGGTGCTCGACGAGTTTCAACCACAACTCTCCCAGTCAATGGTGTTTCCCACCAAGCAAACAGCGAGACGGCCCACGATCACCAGGCTGGAGAGAAGATTTGCATTACTTGCGGTATTGATGTCAGCCTCAAGTGGTGGCCCATTGAGAATTCTGACGAGCGAGAGCTTACCAATGGCCACTATGGAAGTCTCGGATTAGAGGCTCAAAAGTTCGTGGAGCAGAGAAAGTTCCAATGCCACAAGTGTCGTAAGGCCAAGCGGAAGCCCAACCCCCATCCACCGAAGGATCCTTCTCCCGTCGTTGAAGCTGCACGAGTGGTGCCTCCCCCGCTCCCAGTGGTTCCGCCACATCATGCTCTTGCTGCACCCCCGCCGGCTTTGAGAAGCCCTCCGACGACCGGCCCAGAGGCTAGGGCGCGCAGTCTCTCGGCATACGCCTGGGTGGCCCCGGCGCCAGCTCCGGTTGTCGCAGCCGCCGCTGCCGCCAACGTCCCGGTACAGCCTCCGCCCCCGCCCCCGCCTCCGTCTGCGCCTGTCTCCCAGCCCGCAGGACATCCCCCGGCGGCTCCTACAGCGCCACCACCGGCCCAGGCCCCGGCACCTCCTCCTATACCGCCACCAGCGACTCACCAGCCTTCTGGCCCGTATGGCCATCCACCTCCGGGGCCAAGGTACGATTGGCATGGTCGCGCTCCTCAACACAACTCGCCGCCTCAGCGACATCCACCTTTCCAACCTCTGTCAACTCTGCGCCCGCCCCCGATGGCCGTACCACAGACACACCCTCCATTACCGACGGGTGTTCCAAACGGGCACATGGGCCAGCCAGCGCCACACGGAATGCCGCCTTCTCCTCTTATGGCAGGCCCAATCACTCACGGACCGCCGTATATGCACCCTTACCGGCAGGACGCTCATGCGCCACCCCATGGGATTCCCAACGGCGGACCGCCCCAAAGAGGCCCCGACTCATTTTCACGAGGACTGTTGCCCCAACGAGCGCCGTATGCCAGTAGCCCTCCGGGACATGACGCGGGAGGCCCTCTGAGAACTCCGGGTATGCGGCCAACGAACGAGCCTCCCCGGCCGGCGGGCGCAAGCACGAGTCCTTCACTGCGCAATTTGCTTTCTTAGGAGGCGATCACGATCAAATCAATTTCAGGAGTCTTGTCGGCCAATCGAGCATTTTGAGACGGGCCAGGCGTTGGGACCTGTATTGGTCTTTTAGGAAATCATCGGCAATGCGTCTAGCCTGGGTTGTCTGTGTAGAAGACGCAAAGATGCCTCTGCTCTTGCGGACCGGAAGTGTGATGATAGCAAGTGACTGAGACCACGGGAATATATGGGTGGCACAGTTAATCCCGTGAAGCACTTTTTGTTAGATATGGTTGAATAGAAGCGGCAAATGATATCAATATTATACCCGCATTCAAGAAACCCCAAGCTGTCCTACGCAAAGTGACGATGATCGAATGTGTTTGCAAGCCACCTCAGGCCTACTCCTCGCCAATGTCCTCGTTCCTGTCTGCGTCAGCGTACCCGGTCCTGTCATGCCAGGGCTTGGATGAACTCTTACCATACTTCAGGCTTCTCGGCGATGAACTTGTCCATAAGAGCCTTGCATTCTGCGTTGTCGACGACGACGACCTCAACTCCACGTTGCTTGAGATACTCCTCGCCGCCGAGGAAAGTCTTGTTCTCGCCGATTACAACGCGAGAAATGCCATAGAGGAGGCAGGCGCCGGTGCCTACATTTGACGTGAGTAACATGAGTATCTTTGGCAGTGTTCTAAGGGTTATAAACTCACACATGTCGCAGGGCGAGAGAGTCGTGTACATTGTGCTTCCTAGCGCAAGTCAGTGTCCATGTAGGAGACGGAGTCGTAGAGGGTCCCAGAAAATGCTCACCCTTGTATGTCTTGCCTGGCAAGCGGCCAGAGTTGAAGAGAGCGTCTGTCTCGCCCTTGAAAGTGATTCTTCGTTTAGTTCGAGAATATCGGATCAAAGAGGGGGTTTCGACTTACATGGTGGATTGCAGAGCCCATCTGGACACGGCGGTTGTGGCCCCGGCCGAGGAGCTTACCATCCGCGGAAACCAGGGCTGCTCCGATCTTGACGTTCGATCCTGTCAGTCTACCAGTTCATGAATTGCTGCGGTTGCTCTGAAAACGTCGTTATTGGGCACGTACGGGGACACCACCCTCAGAGGCGCCAATCTTGGCCTCCTCAATCGCGATGGCGAGACCCTCTGCGTCGTTCATCGTGGCTAACGGCTGCGGTCGCGTTGGAAGGTGGCGTTCGAGTTAGGTTGGAAATATGAGAGAGAGGTGGGGGCGGGGTATGTAGTTCTGAAAAAGTTGCGCGTATCACGTTTTACCTTTCAGTAAGCCACGGAGAAAACTTGCAGAGCTATGCCGAAGGTCTCCTTTTCTTTTTGAGAGGTTGATGACATTTCTATGGGACGGGACGCTAAAAGGGGGGTTTTCCTGCTAAGGAGTTGGATGATGGAGACGGGTTTGCCGGCGGAGATAGTGAGGGTATCTGGGGATATCCTTATCAGCGGGTCCACTTGGGTCGATCGAGGAGGTTCTGCCGCAAGAAAGAGTCTATGGGAGAGTTGTCAATAATGGTATCAATGATGGCTGAGGCCGTTTTGGAAATCCAAATATGGAATATGTAGGGAAATCATGTTCTTTTATGTGCTGCTATGTCTTGGTGTTCATGTATTGGGTGACGTTGGTTTTGTTTTTCACCAACTCCAACTTGAGATTTGGCCAAGCGACTACTATCACATATTGAGCAAGTTATCAAAAGGTTCCTGCCGTCTAATAAAAGTACGCTCTTTCCCGCTGAAATCGGATGATGAACACGAAAGTGCGGCTCTATATGGTGGTCTTTCCCTTCTAACAGGCTACAGTCAGCCATCCCTCTCTTTGTCTGATAGGACGGTGCTTCGTAGAGAGTTCTCTCTTCACATCATACCCTCTTTCACCTAATTCATCAAGTCTGTCAATTCAGCAGGCAAGCCAGCACCAGATTTACAGACCCGAAACGACTTAGCAGATCCTATCTAGCACAATCACAAGATGGAAGACGACTGCCGGCCCTCGAGACATCACGACCGACTAGCATTTCTTACGCTAACTAACAAGATTCGGGACTGGGCGCAGGTTCATGACACTGCTGAGCCTCGTCTACTGACACCTGAGGATCGCCATCTCATCAGGGCATGCGGCAGAGTTGAACCCCATGAGTTGGCTCTCACCAAATGGAAGCCAGGTCCGGCAGCCACAGACCACATGGTGCGAAGGAGATACCGAATCACGATTGCGGCAACAGGCAAATGCGTATTCGAGGTGTGCCCCAAGTGGCACCGCTTCATCAAGCCTGCTGCTTGCCAGTGGCGGGAAAGAGCAAGGCAGATATTGCCGGAGCTTTTCGAGGCGGAAAGACCGACTCAGAAAGATGGCGCTGGCGATGAGAGCAACGTGCGGAGCAACCCAGACTTGGCTTCACGAAACAGAGACAATCACCGTTGGGTTAACGACGCTGACAGCATGGCTGAGTACGTCTTATCGGACTCCTGCGCGGAAGCAGCAAACTCGAGAGAGAGCCTGGAAAGCAGACAGAGTGAGGAAAGAGAGCAAAGTGATGCCAGTAGCAACGCTGACTACGATTACACATATGCAGGCAATGCAGCCAAGCAGGGGCAGCGCGCCAAGAACGACAACGGCAACAACGGACCATCGGTAAAGACCAGAGCTCATGTTCCACGGAAGGAACAGAGCGATGCACGACCGCGAGCCAAAGCAAGGGTCAAGGCAGCCCGCAGCCTCACGCCGCCCCGATTCATGACCTCGTTTGAGCCTTATCGAGACTCGACGGCCGAAGGCCGGGCCAGGAAGCTGACAACGACCCCAACCCAGGCCAAGGCACATGTTGAGCAATGCGCGAGCTCAACTCCCGAACATCAGACAACGAAGCTCAGCAAGGCAGCTTTCTGGGCCAAAGCCTCTCGCAGACCATCAGATGACATGATAACGGGTGGGCCCGCCAGCCGGGCCGAGTTTGCTCAGATGCTCCAAACGCGGAAGAAGAGATTGAAGCGTGCGAAGAAGTCAGGGCGAGCTGGGAAGGAGAAGAGGGCGCAAAAGGCAAAAGCGCTGAGAAGGTCGCGATGAAGTTTGCATAAACTCTGGCGAGGGCTCGGTTCTATGGGGAGGGGGATGCCTTGGGTGGAGCGAGAGCGTTGGAGATCAACAGATTGCGGTAACAATGTCACTCTGGAACCAATTTCTCCCGAAGCTTGCATCGGCGTTTATCTAAAGTAAACTCGTATATCAAAATTTGGTGGGGCCGTTTCGAGATCATCTCAAGGAGGAAAGACATTGGATACGCCCGAAGATCAGCCCGATGTAGCCACGTGATGACGCATGTGATCCGATGTCCTTCCCTGAGGAACCTCAGGAACGGGAGGTGTCGAGAAGCAAAGCTGGCTAGGCGGCCAAGAGGCCAAAAATGCAGTGAAGACGACTGGGCTGGGCACATCTTCTCCGCCGCCCGGGTTTGGGTGGGCCGTGCACCGTCCCCCTGGCGAATCACCAATAAGGGGCTCGGGACGCGATGAGGTTGACGAGACCGGGGGGAGTTCCACTCCTTCGTCCTGGCCGCAGCAATCGTAAATAGCATCCCGATCATCACAGGTCTCGTCTACACTAGCAGGCGGATGTCCACTGAGAGAGAGAGCTAGCCCGAGATGCACGAGAGACTCTGGAGAAAAAGAGAGAGACAGAGTGTGAGTGGGAGTGTGAAAGAGCCCCATCCCCGCCGACACGGGGACCAAACGAGCCACTGGAATGACCGTAAACGGGACCCAATGTAAAAGGCCCCAGCAGGCAGGCATCACTTTGATCGATGATGGGCGGCCCTTTCCTTTTGGGCTCCGTCCTCCGCCGCAGTTTCCCCTCTTTGGGGGCATGCGCAATAGAGGGAATACGGGAAAAGGAAGGAAGCACGACGCCCTCATAAGGTTCCCGACTTGGGGTAAGGTATCTCAGATCACGAGATGGGATGTGGGCTTGATCATGCGCCATTCAGTATTTGTGGTTGTCTTCTGCATCCCGTATCTGTAGAGTTCCGAGCGAGAACCTACCCCGTTGATTCATATTGGATTATTCCGTGTCGCAACTCGCGCACCGTAAGTAAGACGTTCCTCTCGTCGTCGACGCCACAAGACAGCGTCTCTGAAGAACCCAAAAAGTGCAAAGAGACGTCGATCCCTGTATTAGCGCCCTACGGCAGTGAGGAGTAATTAGCATGCCTTCCTTGCACCTTGCACCTCCAATCTGCACCCGAAGAGAAAAAAAGACGAGGAGAAATAAAATAAAAAACTGGCAGAGACAAACTCACCTCCCATTCCCGTCCCGTGTGCCCCTGCCTTTGCGTTGCTTTCCTCGCCTTACCTTCCCGCCCGTCTGTCTACCTAAGTACTTGCCTCTGCATCTGCCTTACGCCGTACCGTCTATAGTTTTGTCTCGGCCGTTGCCTGTACACAACCAGACGGCCAGGGCACGGCAAGGCACAGCAGAAAGTTGGTGCACCGCCATCATCCTTTTTTTCCCCCTCTTGAAGCAGTGGTCGGAGGCAAGAGCAGACCGAAGTAAGGCACCTTCACCTTTTTATGCTTCTACCCCATCCTATTTCTCTCCCCCATCGCCTGCCCACTCAGAGCAAGTCCTTTCCTGGCTGCTACGTATCCCAAAGCAGGTAGGTAATTAAGGTGCCTTGGGGTTCGGATAGGATAGCAGAGGAGGTTCCGTCACTGGTCACTGGTCCTTGGTAAAGCCCATTGGTCCCTTCCTAGACGGCACCACTGTGCACAGCCGGGTTTAGGATTTGCCCAAGTTTTGGGTGCAGCCGATCGAGCCCACACTAAATCTCCCTACGGCCAGCAACGAACGCCTCACAACAAAACCATTCTCGCGCCTTCGCCCACACTCCTTTGATCGCCTTGAACCGGCCCCTTTTCTCCTTCGCTCAGCTTCAGCTGGTGCTGTTTCTGACTTCCCGCCTCCCGTCTGCCTCCTGGGTTCTACCTGGGCTGCCCGAGGTGCCTACTGCACTTACACACTCTTGCACCTGCGCCTGCACCTGCGCCTAAACCCGCATCTGCACCAGCCGCCGCCGCCGCTGCAAGTTGCTTGCTTGCACTTATCCCCCTCTCTCTGTCTCCCCCGCGGTTGACAACACACGCATACCTAACCCAACGCATACTGCCCAGTCGCAGTCGCTTCAGACGGGACCTTGTTGTTTCCTCATCCTACCTCTTATCTTTATTTTTCTTCCTCAAGTTCCTCATTGCCCGCCTTTTCTCTCAATCCTTCTTCTTCTTCTTCGGGGTGGCCGCTCCTTCCCCCATTCGTCTGCGTTGTCGCTGTGGTTCCTTCCCGTCTTGGGCGCTGATTTCAGCTCCAAAACAACGACGCCGTGCTCCACTGCCCACCGCCTGCCGCCCACTGCCACAAGCCAGGTGCAGCAGCTAAGGTAGCCCACAGTACGCGGTCCCCTCACCCAAGTGCCTTCCTTGCCTTGCACACCGCGCAGCATCTACCTGCCCTGCCGCTGGTCTTCGGATACAGCCCGTAACGACCTAACCACAACCACAACCTGACCTCAGCGACCCTAACCTGGTCTCCATCCCCCGACCCTCACCTCAGCAAAGTAGGTGCGGTGCTCTTCTTACCTACCTTACCATCTTAGGCTCAGGTCACCCTCACCCTGACCCGACCCCGACCCGTCCCCGACTTCGAGTCCTTGCCTCGACCGACTCACCTCCCAAAATTCAATCCCGACCACCACTCTCTCTCTCCCACATCCGTCATCTTTTTCTTCAGCCCGGTGCCCAGCGACGTGGCCTGCCGTCGTCACCCAGTCACGCGAGTAGCTGCCGACCATTCATTACCCGACTTATTTAGTATTGCTCAGCACCGTACCGCCGCCGTGCGACGACGACCCGACTCCTTCAATTCGACGCCCCAATACATACCCATCTCCTCAACAACGACCCCGGCCAATCTACGGTCCAGCTGATGCCGACCGATAATTTCCTGCCAATTCCCAAGTCCGACACTCGAGGCTGACGGGCCGCTTTTCAATCCACGACGCCCTGCCAGCTGAGAGTCCCGAATTCGAACACACCATCAGCCTGCACACACCGACACACCACTTCACTATGGCGTCGGATTACGATCATGCGGCGCCCGACGACCGTCTGCATGCCCACCCCGCCGCCCCTATGGAACCCGCGTACCCTGGCGAGAGAGGATGGCAGAACGGAGGACGCAGAACCCCCGACAACAGCAATTATCGAAACCAGCAGCCTTCACGCTCCCCTGGTCCCAGAACCCCTGGAAGAGAGGGCGACCCGAGACAGAGCCGCGAACGCAGCAGATCCAAGGGAAGAGGTGGTGCACGATCAGCTAGCGGTCAACAGAGAATCTGCAAAAAGTGTGGAGAGCCACTCACCGGCCAATTCGTGCGCGCACTGGATGGAACCTTTCATCTGGACTGCTTCAAGTGTCGAGTACGCCCTGAGACCCTCCCCCCTTAAACATTCTGGACCCTTCTAACACCCTTGCCCTTCCAGGACTGCGGCCAGATTGTTGCCTCCAAGTTCTTCCCCGTTGACGACGAGAATGGCGAGGGTCAATACCCGTTGTGCGAGACAGACTACTTCCGCAGGCTTGGTCTCCTCTGCTACAAGTGCGGAGGGGCTCTGCGTGGCTCTTACATCACCGCGCTCGACCGCAAGTACCATGTCGACCATTTTACATGCTCAATGTGTCCCACAGTCTTCGGTGCTCAAGATAGTTACTATGAGCACGACGGCCATGTGTACTGCCACTACCACTACTCCACGCAGTTCGCGCAACGATGCAACGGCTGCCAGACTGCCATTCTCAAGCAGTTTGTGGAGATCTTCAGAAACGGTCAGAACCAGCACTGGCATCCCGAGTGCTACATGATTCACAAGTTTTGGAATGTACGACTTACACAGCCGAGCGAAACCCCCGAGATACCCCAGGAGAGCGATGACCCCGCCACGCGCGAAATCATTAGGCAGGAGGAAGAGCGCATGGAGGAGAAAGTCTACCGCATCTGGAGTGTCCTGTCCACCTTCGAGGAGTCGTCCGCTGCCTGCATCTCCGACATGCTTCTGCACGTTAGCAATGGCGCCTACGTCGACGGCGTGCTCGTCGCGAAGAAGTTCATCTGGCATGTCGAAATTCTGTTCCAGTCCGCCGATCGTCTGGACCTTTCCATGGACGAATTGAAGCTGAAAGGTTTGTTACTCTGGCGTACGTCTTGCGGGTTTTGCTAACTGGCTAGAAATAGGATTATCGTACGGTCGTGAAGCCAAGCTTCTTTGCAAGAAGATAGTGTCTTTCTTTTCTCTGCTGTCCAAGACCCAGGACACGGGAGCACGGAAGCTTGGCGTCACCCAGGAGCTTCTGTCCCTCGTCACAGGCCTCGCCCACTACCTCAAGCTCCTCATCCGCATCTGTCTCCAGGGAGCGCTCCGCCTTGAGAAGGAGTCTAAGAGCTCCGACGGCATTTACCAATTCCTAGATGACCTTAATGAGCTGGACACTGTGAAGATTGACGACAACACCTTGCAGGCTATCACCGGTAACTCTCGGCTGTCAGCCAAGGACTCGGATCACTGTGCGCTCTGCAACAAGTCAGTCGAGGATGAGTGTGCGAAGAACTCAGAAAGACGGTGGCATATTGCCTGTGTGGGCTGCAAAAGCTGCAACAAGGAGCTCGGCCGCAAACTGGAGGAGGCGCGCTACAACGCATTCGACAATTCGATCTGGTGCACCAACTGTGTCGGCATCAACAGCGACGACATGCCACCTTTTGAGCATGTCACAAAGTTGCAGCAGTACGTTTTCCTTCTCAAGGTGGCGCTCGCAAGGTTGTTGGACATTCTCCGAAGCAGCGGTGCCCTGCCTCGGCAGAACGATGACCAGAACATGGATGGGTACGGACCAGGCGAGGGCCCTCGAACTCTTGCCCCAGGCGAGGCACCCTACCTCAACTCTGACAACCGCTCCAAATCATACGCTGGAGATCAACGAGAGCACAACCGCGAGTCTTCGTACGAGAACACGCTGAACGACGTCCGCCGCCTGAGGAGTACTCGTCTCGACAAGCACTTATCATCTAGCTTCAGAAAGGCCCGAACCTCGCGCATTATGGATGGCCCCGAGGGACGCAGCGTCCGCCCTGGATCTGCCGGCGAGGACCTTGGACGAGGCGATGGAGGTTTTTCGATCGTCGAAGACCGCGGTCCAAACGACGAAGGAACGACGGATAAGATGTTCAACCACCAGGACGCCCTGACGCTAGACGACATCCCCAGGATTGTCGCGGCTGAGCAAGTCAAGGAGCAGCAGAACAAGCCTGGCCGCCAGGAGCTTTTTCGATCGCCCGCAACTGACCCCATGGGTCACCAGAGATCGCAGTCTGCGGGCAGAGAGGCCGAGATCCGCGCAGGTGACCCTTTGCCCCAGCGATTGGGAAGGAAGTACTTTTCGGAACTTTCGGGCCTAGAGTACTTCATTGTCCGTCACTTGGCGGTCCTGACTCTCCATCCCGCGGTCGAGAACGAGTTTACTCTGGACGAGCTGTTAAGTTTTATCGAGTCGCGGAAGCAGCCCACGTTCTGGAAGAACTTGGGCAAGGCGTTCAAGAACGACCGGCCAAAGAATGCCAAGAAGAAGGGCATCTTCGGAGTGCCTCTGGAGATTATCATTGAGAAAGACGGTGCCGAGTCGACGGATGGCGTTGGACCTGGAGCTCTCAAAATCCCTGCCATCATTGATGATATCATCAGCTCCATGAGAAAGATGGACCTTTCGGTCGAGGGTGTTTTCAGGAAGAACGGCAACATCAAGAAGCTCACTGAACTTGTGGAGAGGATTGACCGTGAGGGTTGCGATAACATCAGCTTCATGGACCAGCCTGTTGTGCAAGTCGCTGCGCTGCTAAAGCGCTACCTGCGCGAGCTGCCCGACCCCCTCATGACATTTAAGCTTCAACGTCTTTGGATCGTTGTTGCCAAGATCCAGGATGACGCCAAGAGAAAGCAGTATCTTCATCTCATCTGCTGTTTACTTCCCAAGGTCCACAGGGACTCCTTGGAGATTCTGTTCTGCTTCCTCAAGTGGGCTGGATCTTTCCATCAGGTCGATGAAGAAGCTGGTTCGAGAATGGACATCAAGAACCTGGCGACTGTTATCGCGCCCAACATTCTCTACAGTAGCAACAAAGCTCCTGCTCTGGACAGCGATCCAATGTTCGCTATTGTTGCTGTGCAAGACATGATCACTTACATCGAGGAGATGTGCCTGGTATGTTCCACACTCACACGCTTGTTTCAGCATCACTAACTAATATTGCGTTGTAGGTTCCTGACGAGCTCATGGATCTTGTGAATGATCCGTTCGTGTTTGGTTCTGGAAACGGCGCTGATCTGAGCACTAAGGACATCCTGAAGCGCTACCAGGACCGCATCGGCCAGAGACCAGGATTGGGCGAAGTCAATGAGGTCTTTAACAGACCGGACAACTCCACCCGCCCACCTCCCCGACGAGTTGAGACGGACCCCGCTCTGTGGCAACAGCAAGAGAGCAGTGTCCGCCCTGTACAGGATCCTCTGCCTACCATGGTCCTGCCATACCATCCTCATCCCAACGCCAACACACCTCCTCAAAGGTGGCGGCCACATGAAGAGAACGGTCACCCCTCACCCTATGCCAACCAGCCTGAGCACTCTGATACCGAGGGCCCAACTGATGCTCAGAAGCGTGAATGGCGCAACTCTGCTGCTTGGGGACGGCAGAACGGTGGTGTGGGAGTTGGTGGACATACATAGCCCTGTTAGGCCACAAAGGCGGCAGGCTGTGCACACATACACACAACGAAGTGTGCTGCTATCCATTCGCATGCACTTCTTCATATGCATTCTATCGGGATTGCAATTTGGGTTTTGAGAGTCACATATCCATGCATCGTTGGCGGCGTTCCTAACCCTTTTTGATCAAAAGGAACAAAAAGATTTCCCTTTTGTTCGGTTACTTCTACTTACGACAAGGCGGCATGAATGAATTTTTCGAGTTCTTTTCAAAGCTTTTTTTTCGAACCCTTTACTTCTTAGCTTCTCTGAGAGTAAAGCATCAGACCATGAAACGAGGGACTCTTGCAGTCTGTTGGTCTTCTTTCACGACACGATTGGTCGTTTGCTGGGGATGAGGGAGGTTTGGCTTTGGTTTGGCGGTTTGGTTTGGAGTATGGCCTCAGGGTCCATCGACCTGTCGATGGGCAGGACTGGCTGGATGTTTGATTCACATGGGTTGACCGAGCCTTGAATTCTTCTTGGCTTGCGCGCGAGACCTACCATAGCTTCGCTTCTGTTTGTTGGACTGGGGATGTCGGATTGCCATTTTTGAAGACTTCGAGAGGAGCAAGAAGGCGACAGGCGAGAGGGGATGAAGGGGAAAAGTTGCCTATTTTTGCCTTGGGCTCAAGGCTGTGCGAGGCGACAAGAGCCTTGTTTTTGTAGCTCGAACGAGGTGAAAGAACCAGATAGTTTCGCTAATGCGATCAAAGCGGGAAAACATTTCCCTGCAGGTTTCCCTCGTGATACTCTCTGTCGCTACTGATTGCTTCTTTTTTCCCCCTAACATATTGTCTTTTGCTCTTGACGTGGCCGCAGGCCGTTTATTAGTCCCCTTTATGGTAGGGGTTATGTATATATATTTACACCAAAAAATCACCATTTTCTTTTGGGAGATATAGTCAGATTGCAAATCACCGCTCGTCATCATTATATCGTCACCTCTCACGCCTTGACGCTGACCTTGCCCGCCTTCTCCTGGTCCAGGAACCACTGCACACCTCTCTTGATACCTGAGTCCAGGCTGACGATGGGGCGGTAACCCAACAGACGCTTGGCCTTGCTGATGTTGTAGTAGCGCGTCATGCAGCTGTAGATGTTGCGCTGGCGGTTGAAGATGGGGGGCTTGCCGATGATGCTGAAGAAGACCTCGGAGCAGAAGCCCAGGACGACGCCGATCTCGCGGGGGATCTTCCAGACGTGGTCGGTGCCCTTGTCCGACCCGGCGGCGCGCCAGATGGCCCTCGCAAAGTCCCAGAAGTAGATGGGGCTGTCGTTGGTCACGAGGAAGGCCTCGCCGTCAATCTTTTCGTTATCGAGGGGGATGATGCTGGACTTGATGGTGGCCAGGAGCATGCGGGCGGCGAGCATATGGGCGTGGGCCACGTTGCCGACGTAGGTGAAGTCGAAGAGGTTGTCGTTGTCGCCGAGCTGGAGGCCCGTCTTGCCCTCGCGGTAGATCTTGACGAGCTGGTGCGTGGCCATGGTGTCGCCCTCGCCGAAGATGCCAGCGGGGCGGATGGCGGCTGTGAGGAGGGGGTACGGGTCTTGGCGGTTTGCCTGTAGGACGAGCTCTTCCGCGGCGGCCTGGAGAGAGAGAGACGTGTTTGTGTCAGCGAGATAGAAGTTCTTCAGAGGGAGAGGGGAGGAGCAGCATTGCGCGCGGGTGTGTACCTTGGTCTCGGAGTAGTACTCCGACTGTTGCTCGCCGCGGATGACAGGCCACCTCTCGTCGGCGTTGATCAGGTCGCTGGTGTTGTCGCTGATGATGCTGGCTGAGGAGGTGTAGACCAGGGCCTTGACGCCGGCGGCCTGGCAGGCGGCGATGATGCTGGCGGTGCCATCAATGTTGACGCGGCGGAAGAGGTCCTTGGCGACGGGGCCGTCGGCCTGGGGCGCGGGCGAGGCGGTGTGGATGACGACGTCGGGTTTGACGTCCTCGAAGATGGACTTGATCTTTTCCGTGTCGGTGATGTCGGCTTCGTGGTAGGAGGCGGCGGGGTTGCGATTGTTCGCGCAGCGGAGGTCGATCACGGAGACGGAGCTGGTTTGCCAGCGGTCGCCGGCCAGGAGCTGGTTGACGACGTGGTGGCCCAGAAAGCCATTGCCGCCGACGACGAGGACCTTGCCCAGATCGATTGGCACGGGAGCCTTTTCGGAAGACATCTTCTTGGGGGAGGGCGATTTGTCTTGGGAGGGACTTTGGAGCTGACTTGCGTCCAAGTGCGAGCAACGGTCGGGCGGGGAAGGAGGTGTCGAGAGTCGTCCGTTGGTGAATTTGTTTCTCTGGTCCCTGAGGAGAGCTGGGAATAAGGTCGAGGTAACGCAATGCACGGTTTGCGGCGCGCGCGCGAATGGGCCAATCTGAAGTTTGGTGGTTTGGTTGCACTCGATTGACAGCTGCGTACCGGGTACGTGTCCGTCATGCAGGGGGCCGTCGGAGCCTGTGGTACAGTCGACCTTTCTGTCCCCAAGCTCTTCAGCGGCGCTAGGAATGCATTTTAGGCTGGGCCCCCGGTTTCTGAATGCGACTTGAGGGGCAGGGGGCATTAAGTTAGGTGCCCCACCTCGAAAAGCGCACTGACTTTGCGGGTTGCCATGCTCTTTGGGAACCTCGCGAGTCGCGACTTGCAATCTTCAAGTGACGGAACTCAATTTCTTGATGTGAGCTGGCCTGTTTTAAGACCTTGGTGGTCGAACACACAATGCAAAAAGTCTCAATTTGAACCGTGGCAAATTTTGTTTCTCCTTGGGCCACAAAAAATTCTTACTCTAAATTGAATCTTTGTTCCTCGACAACTCTCATGAGATGCGCGTACCTCACATAAGCCTGCGGTCGTCATGGAGACGAATGGCAACATCGAGATCTTAGTGCACGTCGCAGCGCCGTGCAAAGCTGTTGACGATGCCAGGTATCGCGCCTTGGCGCAGGCGTATCTCGACTTTCAACCAGCAGGCCAGACAAAGGTCTTGGACGGCTTTCCACAAGGCAATGTGGATACAGACATAGCCAGCTCACAGGCTGAGCCATCATCTTCACCATCAATACCCTTTTACGCACCGATTCCAAACAGCGAGGCAACCCAGCTGCCGTCGTCACCACCAGTGCGATACTATCTACCAGAGGCCTCATTTGGAAGTGTCCAACTTTCTTTTAGGAGTGTTTTGGACAATAGAAACTCCCCGATCCTTGGTAGAGCCGAAGCAGTACAGGATCTACCCCAATCATCGCAACCGGAGGCCGAGACTCAGTTTACACAATCTAGTTGGGTGGCTCCTCCAAGTGTAATTGGGGACTCTCAGCCAGCGAACGACATCAGCCTTGCCGAGTTCTCGTCGCCAAGTCGGCTTTTTGAGCATTTGGCATGTCAGTTCGAGAGTCAAGGAGCCGGAGCTTCCCAGCAGATCCCGTCGCAAAGCCAGCGTCGAGTTCTGCGATTCTCGCAGGGCCCAGAAGAGGAATTGGAAGAGGAGGAAGATGCCGGAGAAGACGATGAGCAGGTTGTTCTGGTCACATCCAGCGAACCCCCATCAACCAGCGACGTCCCGCCACCGCACCCATCCCCTCCAGCAGAAAACGTCATTCTAGACACACCCTTCCCAGCGCGGAAGCGACCTCTACCCGAGGGCTCACCCCTCGACCAGGTGATCCAAGAAACACCATGCCAGGCCTCCGGAAAGCGGCCATCGCTATCCTCTCGTGGCAACTCCGATTCACCTCTTCCACGCAAGCGCCATAAGCGCTCCGCGCCAATATCAGAATCCAGATCAGCAACGCGGAGCCCCTCCATAGCCGGGCACGTCATCCCGGACGATCTCTACAGCATCATACGCCCACCAAACACGCGTCACCTGAACTACCTCGAACGCCTCGAGATTCATCCCGAGGGCCCCCCCGTCGGCAACGCAGAACTCACCCCAGACGACCTCCTGACGCCCAAGCTTAGAGAGCTCGCGCGGCAGCTTAACATCGACAAACGCTTCCGGCCCGTCGAGCAGATGAGGGAGCTGCGGCCGTTCGAGAGGGGCCACTGGACACTCGACTGGACCGGCTGGCGACCGACCTTGCGCGAGCGGGCGTGGCACTTTCTGACCGACTACATCCTCGAAGGGTTCGCGGGGTGGGGTGTCTGGTGCACGCGCGCCGAGGACTGGTCGTGGCTGAGGGTCTACTGCTGGGGATATGTCACCGGGCATGTGTACCTCGCGCTTTACCTTGCCAGCGAGAGGGCTTTGAAGACGGAAACGGCTCGGTGGGTGGACGGCGCTGGGGAAGTGATTCTGGTTACCAACGGGCATGGCAACTCCGAGTCAGGGGACAGCATGGAGGACGGGGCGGACGAGTAGGGGTGACTGTCTCAAGGGCGTCTTTGGCAGCACTTTCTTTCACTGAGCTAGCGAGGCGTTTCTTGACATTCGGTTGGGCGGCACAGAGTCGGACTGGAAACGAATGGCGTCACTGTTGTGGTGCAAATGGCATTGGCAGAGGCGTCGCTGGATAAATGTATACACGGAGAAATCTCATTACAAGACTGGTTGCGAAACCTCTCAATATTGGTATCTGAAAGTCAACACCGCACCGTCATCCTGCCCTCTGATGATCGAACCGGTAACAGTGCCATCATGGAACCCGCATGCTCATGAAAGTAGCAGTTTTTGCTGACACAGCTCTCCTGTTTGTTCATCGCACACGATTTTGCTCGCAACATGCCCCGTAGAAGTTTTCATCGGATGTCCCAATACGCGGAGATATGTGTCTACACACAAACGCATCTTTTGGAGCAGAATACCCCGCCTGCCGCCGGCAAACCAAGACTAGCGCCGACGGAGCTCAAGTGCGAGTGCGATGTTCGACCTCACGTCCCAGGACGTTGCTGACGTCCCGCTCATATCGTTCCATGTCGGACTTTGCCAACGCCAGGTACGGGGCCTTCTCGGCCTCTGTGAGGTTGTTCCACTCTTCACCAATAGCCTTGGTCGCCGGTCCGATCGCCGAGGGAAGGTCACCTTGGGCCCAACGCGCCTTGACATAGAACAAGAAGGCTGACGTTGGGCGGTTGGGCAAGCGCTCGTCAACAATTGATCTCGGTTTGACCTGGCGCTTTCCCTCCTCCTTGGGGCTCAATGCGCGGAGGCGCTTACGCGCGTTGTTGGCATTGTTAATTTCTAGCGGCGTGTGGGATTCAACCCAAGCTTTGTACGCGGCATTGTTCTTGAGCTTGTTCGCCTCGGCCGTCTCTTGGAGGCGCTATATTAACTTGTTAGCCATAACATCCTCATGTGACGGTCGTTCCCTGGCCTAGGACAACTCTGGCCGATAGACAAGCTTACCTGGAGCTCGTGAGTAGAAAGGTTCTTGAAATCTTCCGCGAAAGCTGTAATCCGATCCCCAAATGCTTCCCTGGCAATTGTCTCTGCCCTCAACCTCTCTGTCTGATACACCATCCACGCGGACGTGACCTTGTTTGAGGGTTCGCTGGCAAGCAGAGCAACCTGCTTCAACTCCTTCTTCAGGACCTTAAGCTTCTCCTCGGGTGTCGGGGCTCTGCGGGGGCGACCGCGACCCTGGCCCGTCTTAGTCTTCGCAGGCTTCTTCGCAGCAACCTTCTTCGCCTTGACCGCGGACTTCTTCGCTGCCGGTTTCTTCGCAACGGGCTTCTTCTTCGCAGCTGTCGTCGTCGTCTTCTTAGCCTTCGTCTTGGTGGACGAGGCGGCGGCGGCTTTGGCTGGGAGATGCGCCGACTTGGTGGTCGAGAAGGCCCGGCATGCGACGCGCGGGACGGCTCGGGAGGCGGTCAATGGCGCGGCGCGAATGACCAGGCGCTGGCCCGCTGCGCGACCGATTGCTGTCAACATGATGTGCGCGCAATCAAGTTTGCTGAAGGTGGGGTATTTGTTTGTTGTGTGGGCACAGCTAAGCTGTTATCGGAGATGTTTTGTGCAGATGTAGTTGGGAAGCCCGCGATAGGGCTGATGAAAGGATGGGGGGGAGGGAGGGAGAGAGGTATGGATGGCTGTGTCCCAAGCGATGTCCCGGAGACAGGAACAAGCCAATTGTAGGGCGACGGAGCAGTTGGGAGATTTCGCTGCTGCAAGTGCCGTCTGTGGTGTTGACGGAATGACGGGCGAGGAGGGACTGAGAGCATGCGACCTGACCTTGGCCGGCCTCCTTGTTTGTTTTACCTTGACCCCTGGAGCTGTCTGTAGTGAGTACCTGCCGATCGTGGATAGCGATAGTGAAATCAAAGTAGCATCTACTTCTCCGGTCTTCCCACCACCACTACCATAGTACAGCTCCAAGCTGACCATTTTCGGTAAGCCCACCTCAAGTTGAAGCCCCGTTTGTCAGGCACCACCCTGACGCAGCGGCCCAGCAAGCAAGCACCACCAGCAGCACCTGGCAGCCGGCGGCAGAGGCATCCACGGGACGCGAAGCTAAGCACAGCAACCCCCAGCTACATCTACATACCGACGACCATCACCAAACATCCTGCCACCGTTCCCTCCACCCACGATATCGACACCCATTACCGCCAAGTCCCCTCCCCTCCTTCTTCAACCAGATACTATCGATAATCATGGATCACAGACCGCAAGCTTGGGGCCGTGTATGCAACCTACCTCTGCCCTCAGCCTCTAATCATGGGACTAACAGACTGAACCCCTCTCATAGCCTAGAGACGACGTCTACGGAGCCTACAACGCCTCCTACATGAACCCCAACGGCCCCAACCAAGCGACACAAGCCCCCATCGTCACGGGCACATCAGTCATTGCCATCAAGTTCAACGAGGGTGTCGTAATCGCCGCCGATAACTTGGGTACGCCCGTCCTCATCATTCCAACAGCATAGCACCTCAAAGACGATCGAATACTGACAATTGAACCCCAATAACAGCATCCTACGGCTCCCTTGCTCGATTCACCGACGTCAAGCGTCTGCGCAAGTTTGCCGACTCTACCGTTGTGGGTTTTGGCGGCGACGTCTCCGACATGCAGTTCCTCGACCGCCACCTCCAGTCCCTCGACATTGAGGAGTCCTACGACCTCTCCACCGATCAACCCCCCCGCCTCAACGCTGCAAACCTGCACAAGTACCTCTCCAAGCTCATGTACAAGCGCCGTTCCGACTTCGACCCCCTCTGGAACCATCTCCTCGTCGCCGGCCTGGACGACGCAGGCAAGCCGTTCCTTGCCGCGGCCGATCTCCTCGGCACTACATTCACCTCCCCCTCATTGGCCACCGGTTTCGGTTCTGCTCTGGCACAGCCCATCATGCGCCGCTACGTCCCCGACGAGGAGGCAGCTGCCAAACTGACCAAGGAGAAGGCCACCGAGGTTATCAAGGAGTGCATGAAGGTGCTCTTCTACCGTGACGCCCGCAGCTTGGATTCGTATTCCATTGCCATTGTCACCAAGGATGGTGTCGACCTCAAGGAGAACGAGAAGCTGGAGAAGCAGAGCTGGAAGTTCGCGGAACGGATTCGTGGCTACGGCACGCAGGTTGTTTAAGGTGGAGAGAAAGGAGTTCCTGGAAGATACGATGGGATAGAGGAATCAAATGACAGTTACTGGTTAAATGGGACAGTTGCTCTCGGCTCGCCATCTGGGATGACTAACGGCGACTCTGGAGAGCAGCAGAAGAAGCAAGTCCGAGATCGACTTCCTTCTACGTGTCATCCGCAATACGAAAGAAAGGTCGCGGGGAATGGGAGCGCAACAACACTAAATGAAATAGACAATATTGCTTTCATTGATTGCTTTAGGTTGCCTCTTCTCTGGCATTTAACCTTTTTAAACATACGCTCCTTTATCTTGACAGGCCCTAAATCTACCATGCTGGACCATTCCCTCCTTTTGACACAAAATCCAGTAATACATCCGAGGGCTTTCATCTGTTCATGGCCCACTGTGTCATTAAGCCAAGGGCCGGCCTCCCTTTTGGCAACCCAACTCCAATGGCGAAAAGCACCTCACAAGAAAATATTCAACCTCGTTCGCTGCTAACAAACTGTTTACTCGACGGTGACAGACTTGGCCAAGTTGCGAGGGAAGTCGACGTTAAGGCCTTCCATAACAGCGAGCCAGTAGGCGATCAGCTGCAGAGGAACGACGTTGAGAATACCCTGAAGGACGTCGACGGTCTTGGGGATCTCAATCTTCTCGGCCTCGCTGGACTTGAACTCCTCATCGGCAGGGTTGCAGATGACGATGGGCTTACCGCTACGAGCAATGACTATTGCGAGTTAGTGACAGAACGTGAATGCATGCGAGTTTTTCCAAACTTACCTTGCTGGTAGGCGTTGAGCGACTTCTTGAAGAGATCGTCACGGGTGAGAATCATGATGATGGGCAAGTTCTCATCGACGAGAGCCAGGACACCGTGCTTCAGCTCACCAGACATGACAGCCTCGCAGTGAAGGTAGGAAATTTCCTTGATCTTCAGCGCACCCTCAAGGGCAGTGGAGAACTGGCTGCCACGGCCGAGCAAAAGCAGGGACTTCTGGTTCTGGAAGGTCTTGGAGCAGAGCTCCTTGATAGACTGGTCCTGGGTGAGGATGTCCTTGATCTGCTCGGGAATCTTGGCCAGACCCTCCATGATCTCCTCACGACGTCTCTGCTTGGACGCGCGGTCCTCGCTAAGAGAGAGTGCGAACATGACCATGGCGATGAACTGGGAGGTGTAGGCCTTGGTAGACGCAACACCAATCTCTGGGCCGGCGTTGACATGGACACCGCAGTGAGTGAGGAGAGAGATGGAGGAGCCGACAACGTTGACGATACCGACGGTCAGAGCACCACGCTCCAAGCAGTAGCGGAGGGCCATGAGAGAGTCGGCAGTCTCACCAGACTGGGAGACGAAGACACAGGTGTCGTCTCGGAAGACAGGGGCTTGTCTGTCGAGGAAGTCGGATGCCAACTCGACAGCGATGGGGATCTCGGCAAGCTCCTCAAACACGCCACGAACAGCCATGCATGAGTGGTAACTCGTACCGCAAGCAATGAAGATGATTCTGCGACATCTGCGGATGGTAGAGATGTAAGAGCGGAGACCACCAAGCGTGACCGTCTTGTTCTCACTGTCGAGACGACCTCTCATGGTGTTGACAACGGACTCAGGCTGCTCGAAAATCTCCTTCTGCATGAAGTGGTCGAACTTGCCCTTCATGATCTCCTGGAGCTCAAGCTCAAGGGTCTGAATAGTGCGCACGTTGGAGCTGCCATCGGCCTTCTTAAGGCGGTGGATGTTCAGGGATCCCTCGTGGATGTGGGCAATGTCGTCGTCCTCGAGGTACATGACCTTCTTGGTGTGCTCGACAATAGCGGAGGGGTCCGAGGACAGGAAGAACTCGGTGGGCATGGGCATGCCATCGTCGGTCATGAAGGCACGCGACTGGGAGCGGTGGAGGAGAGACTTGTCAGGAGCGCCCAGCAGAGCGTTGGGGTTCAAGAAGTTGTCCTGCTGCTTCTTGAGGGCAATGTTCTGGGATGCGGTCTCAGCCGGGAGGGCAGCCTGCTCATCGGCGTACTCGACATCGACGAAGTCGACCTTCATGCGCTTCTGCGTCTTGACGCCAATGACGAGGGGAGAGCCCTTACGGGCAGCGATGACCTCATGAGGGTAGTGAACGGACTTGATCAGCAGACCGTAGGCGCCCTCGAGCTCGTTGATGACAGCCTTGGCCAGGTCGGTGAAGCCGACCTTGGGGTGCTGGTCGTAGAGGTACTTGGCGAGCTTAGCAATGCACTCGGTGTCGGTGTCGGTCTCGAACTTGAAGCCCTTGGCGCTCAAGAGAGTCTTGAGCTCCTTGTAGTTGGTGATGATTCCATTGTGGACAACGGTGAACTCCCAGGTAGGATCGGACCTGCAGGGAAAGGATCATTAGCCACTGAGTCATTGATGTAGTAAGAAGGCTGAAGTGGAAAGTTTGCTGGTATCCTCGCGAAAAGTGCACACATACCTGTGGGGGTGGCAGTTCAGACGAGAGGGGGGACCGTGGGTAGCCCAGCGAGTATGGGCGATACCGGCATGTGAATCGAAGTACTTGGTCTCGTCGACCTTGGACTCGGCGATGAGCTGCTTGAGCTTGGCGACCTTGCCAACCTCCTTGAAGGCGAAAACCTCGTTCTTCTTGTCGCCATCAACAGCCAGACCGGCGGAGTCGTAGCCACGGTACTCGAGACGCGACAGACCTAGAGAAGAGAACAGATGGTTCGTTAGTCAAGAGCAGCCCCTCGGGATGAGCTGGTGGAGCTGCATGGCTCCAATTGGAGCTTTCAGGAGGCGGTGTACTCACCGTTGATTAGAGTCTCGAGGATGAACTTGCGGTCCTTCTCCACCAGGTAGTTGACGTAGCCGAAAATGCCACTGTTGGGAAGAATTTCCTGTCAGCTTACTGCTTACTGTGTTGCCAATGGCTTCCAAGGCGTATGCCTGGGCCCCTTTTCAGCTGGCAAAAGCTGGATGGAGGGGGGAGGCTGCGGGCAAGCTTTCAGGAGAGCGGGGGAGAGTTGGGGGAGAAAGGTAGACATACCACATGTTGATTTCAGCGCAAAAGAAGACCTAAAAAAAAGACGTAAAGACCAATTCGCAGAGAGGGACCTAGGCGGGGATATAGGTCTTTAGAGGCGGCGGTGAGGGGTATCAAGAAGAGCGAGAGAGACGGATAGTTGGATCGAGAGAGAATGAACAAGGCAAAGCCAGTGGTAAGGAGGCGGGAGCTGAGCAGCTTTATGTGTGTGCTGGACAACAACTGATGGAGGAGGGGAGGTGTGTATTGTGTACGTGGAGAGAGCACGCAGTAGCGCCCAGAGGTGTGCGAGGCGTGGAGGTGGGCGGTGGGCGGGGTGGTGGCAGGGGCGTGCTCGTATTGATGGATGACAGAAGGGGGGAGGGGAGAGGTATTCGTACAGAGGCACGGGTTGAGTTGAGAGGCAGACGTTGTCGGCCTAGGTATTATTGCCTGCGCTAAGAAGGCAGGCCAAGTCAGGCATGGGTCGATGGATTGAGGCAAGAAGGAAACAAGACACTGGTTTGTGCTTGTTATTTTGCGACTCTGGTGATGACGGCCAAAGCTGAAGTTCCAGTGTTGAGGTTGAAGTCGGGATTGGCACTGGCACTTACCCGACGTCAGGCAAAAGTTTAGAGAGCTTGAGCAGAGCAGAGCAAGCAATGTTTGGCCCGTGACAATGACGGGAGGCTTGAAGGTTCCCCTTTTTCCCAAGTTTGTCCTGATGGACTTTTGCAAGCGGGCGAAACAGATGTCTTCACGTTCCCGTTTGAACGTCTAGACCATGAATGTCTGGCTTGCCTTTGCTCGCTTGCGTTGCATGTTTGGGACGGCAGGCAGATGGCAACTGCGGTCGGTCGGTACTCGTACCTACCTTACCTCGCGGATACGATACGCGACAAGAATTGGGTGTCTGACATATCTCGACCGGGGTGGCATATGTCAGGACTCAGCAGGCGCTGGGGCAACGAATGGATCTGGGCTGGGTTCAATGGGGCAGCAGCAGCAGTGGCAGCAGCAGCAGTGGCAGCAGCAGCAGTGGCAGCAGCAAGAAGACCACGGACCTGGCCAGCCACATATCGAGCTGAGGACACTGGAAGCAGGAGGTGAGGGGCAGCTCTGGAGTGCCCCACCTCACCGGCAACCACACACATTGCATCGCTCGTCACCAACACTAACACCTGGCAGAGCATCTTATTATGTGCACCATACCAGGAGACCCCGTGTTGCTCTGGAAGGCCGGCCACAGTGCAGACTTTTCTTCTCTGGCGTTGCTGTTCCTCACATCTCTAGCATATCAGTCAGTGCCCGGAAAAGTTGCATTTCCAGACGGAAGCTGACCGCTATTATTCGATACACAGTCTTACTTAGTTGCAGGCGCCTCTAACCTACTTCAGACCTGCCATTCAGATTGTCCAGTGCGGCCCTCCTCCCAGGCTGGCTCTTCCTCTTCCTTGGACTGTGGCGCCATTCCCTGGCTGAGCCATTCGGCTGCTACACTAGCCCAGAAGATCGTCCTCGGTACGTACCGCCAAGTATGACGGACGCGGGACGCCCTTTGCTTTTCATCTAACGTATTGTTACGGATATAGTGATGCTGGTGGCCGTGGTCGATCTTCTCCTCCAAGTTCCTCCATCGCCTTGAGTTCATCTCAAAAAATGTCATACTGGGGACTGACACCATATATCGACGACAGTTCAACTTCTTCAAAGCGGCCGTCACCCGCACCCGTCTTCACAGTCCAGTGCAGCCGCTAGGAATTCTACACCATCTGCAAGCTGTCTGCATTTGCTACACTGCCCGTGCTGTCTTTCCCAAATCGGATGCGTACCTAGCTCGCCAGGCACCCGGCAAAATAAGCACCAAGTATCTAGGTAGGCACCAACTTGGACAAGCTCCGTCTAAGCATAGCATCGCATCAAATCAAGCAGGGCAGTCTTCATCAGCCCTGGCTACATGCTCTCCAGATGCTTTGCTGGGTGTCGAGTCCCATGCTTTCA